AGGTGGATTGCCTAGATAATACAATCCATTTCTTTCATGTTCCCTGATAATAATCCTCTCAGTACTTAGGTCCTGCAAATAACACGAATCAGATAAAAACACAACTGCAGAGTGAAAATCTTTGGCTAACTGATGTACGGATAATAGATTCATGACCAGTTTTGGCGCATAAAAAATCGAATGTAATGTTAAGTCATCTAGAAGACGGACTATACCCCTACTAATAATAGGAGCATGTATCACATCTGCTAGTTGAACTTGTGTATATAATTGCTCNCTAACTGATGTACGGATAATAGATTCATGACCAGTTTTGGCGCATAAAAAATCGAATATAATGTTAAGTCATCTAGAAAACGGACTGTACCCTTACTAATAATAGGAGCATGTATCACATCTGCTAGTTGAACCTATGTATATAACTGCTTNTTAAGTCATCTAGAAGACGGACTATACCCCTACTAATAATAGGAGCATGTATCACATCTGCTAGTTGAACTTGTGTATATAATTGCTCGTCAAAAGTGGTGAAGTGATGGGCCTCATATGTCATATGATCATTTGTACCCGAGTCCAGCATCCAAAGGGGAGACGGATTGGCGCAAGCATGAAATGCATGAGGTATACCTGTAGTGGTGGCAGTAACAGTAGTTGGACCCTGAGAAGTCAGGGCGGATATAAGTATATCCAATCGGAAAATGATAGCATCCATATCACTCTGCCAAGGAGGAGCAGTATTAGGAACAGCGGCAGTAGGTGATGGTACCTCAACAACAACATTAGTACGACTATGAGGAAGCAGCTTAAGCTTCGGATAAAGCTTACAGCAAGTAGCCTGGAGATGGCCTGGTCGGCCACAATAATAACACCGACGAAAACCAGGAGATACAACAGTCCAGGTGGAAGTACTAACAGCAGAGGTCTCAAGAGTAGAGGTCTCAAATTCCTCAGTAGTAGTCATAACAACAATAATACTAGAGCACCCGTGACAAAAAAAATAACTTTAAGATAAATAGAGAGACAAAATAAGGGAGAATAATATACCTCAAGTCGAATAATAGAAACAGATAAAGAAGGTCCAGAAAGCTCCCAAATAATCAGATCATGGTGCCTAAAAATCTAGTAAATATATAAGTAATCTACTGCATCAAAAGCAGATTAACGGACAAAGAAGATGATTCAACCCCTCATAAAAAAGGTCCTAGATACTACAACCTGGCAGTACTGTGACGAAGAGTGCAAAGGATGAAGCTAAAATGAGAAACACGACTCGGCAGTGGGCTGGGCAATGACTCGGCAATAGGCTAGATGGCTGGGCGTCGTGTTTATTGGGCAGTGGGTTGATTGGTCTGGTTTGTGACTATATTGGGTTGGTATGGGTTTATCAATGGACTGGTTTGATGTGTGGGCCGTAGGTTGGTCAAGGTAGTTTGATTTTATCAGTGGGTTGGTCAAGGTATGGGTTTGTCAATGGGTTATGTTGGTGGTTTATAGAGGTCGGTGGTATGGGGTACAGTTGGTGTGTGTCAGTGTAGATGTTGAGGCAGTCAATGAGGATGATGGAGTCAGGCAGTCGGGCAGTCAGGCAGTCGGTGTAGATTGGTTTTTTGCTGATGGAGTCAGGCAGACAGTAGGCTAAAGGGGTCGCAGGTGTGGTTATCTGGAGCAGTCATGGTGGCAGTTTGGTGGCTGGTGGCTGCAACATGGAGGAGGGGCTAGAGTTAGGGTTAGGGTTGTGGCTCTGATACCAACTTGGAATGAATGTGTGTGAGAAAAGGGTTACAAACTAAATGCAAAGCCCCCATATATATAGCCAATGAAAATTACAATAAGGATAAAAAAGTAAAAAAGGAAAACTATAATAATCCCTAGTAAGCTAAGTTGCAATATTTCCAACACTCGCCAACCTAACCATTGTAGAGTCACCATTAAACAAACAAAAACCACATCAAGCAGCTATTTTGGACCACACCATAGCAACAAAATTACATTAAATAAACAGATGAGAACTAGACTCCATTTCAACAGAACACAAAGAACATTTATTGGCAAGATTGACCCCAATGGATTGAAACCTGGAATCCAAAGGCACAACATTATTCAGAAGCCTCCAATCCAACAACTTAGCACTAGGAGGGACAGACATCTTCCAAATAGCAGAAGCCACTTGATTAACCCTCCNACATTATTCAGAAGCCTCCAATCCAACAACTTAGCACTAGGAGGGACAGACATCTTCAAATAGCAGAAGCCACTTGATTAACCCACACACCATTCCTAACAAGCTGCCAAGCTAATTTGACTGAGAAAAGACCATTAGTAGTAGGCTTTCAAATCAAACAATCAGACCTGCTAGACAGACTGACATTAGAAGATAGAATTTCCTCTCTCAGCTGATCACTAATAAGATCCCCAATCACCTGCCACTGCTATCGATTATCAACATACACCTCAGAAAGCTTGGGAAAACAGACAGGAAATCCAGAAATTCTAAGCAACAAAGGGCCAAAACCCAACCAATTAGAACACCAAAAATCAACTGAACTTTTATCCCCCACAACTGAGAAAGAATTCATGACCACCATATCAAATCATGGCTGCAACATTTTAAAACTTTTCAATTTGCCATTATTAGAACATCTTAAAACATGTCCTCCCTTCAAAAACTTTGCTGCAAAAACTTTAGCCCAAAGAGACTGTCCCTGTAAAATCACCCAAATTTGTTTCATTCTGAATGCTACTTGAACATCTTCAAACCTTCTAATCCCCAAACCTCCTTCCTGTATAGGTCTAGCAATCCCCTACCAAGAAACCCAATGCCTTCTTTTAGCCCCTGCCTTACCAAACCAAATGAAAGAAGCCATAAGGGAATTCAATCTAGACAGAATTCCTTTAGGCAAATTTAAGCATGCCAGCAAGTGCACTGGGACAGAATTTAACACAGACTGCACCATCACCACTCTCCCCATGTTAGAAAGTAATCTAGCTTGTCACCCGTCTATTCTCGCCTTAAATTTAAAAACAAGGTCTTCAAAATCTCTCAACCTTCTCCTACCACTCACCAAAGGGCAGCCCAAATAAGTGATTGGTCACTTTTTAATTGGTATTTGACCTAATGTAGACAACATTAAAGCTCTATTTTGACGAATTCTGGAGGAACAAATCAATGAGCTTTTCTGCCTGCTGATTCTCTGCCCAAAACAGCCTTCATACAAACTCAAGAACCTTAACAAATTCACCAAAGACCTTCTATTTCCTCTTAGAAACAATAAAGTATCATTTGCAAACAGCATATAAGAAATCAATACTGTTCCTCCACCTGTATGGAAATGCCTCACAAAACCATCAACAAAAAGCTTAGTCAGACCCCTACTAAGAGCCTCTTCTACCAGAATAAACATAGAGGGAGATATGGGGTCTCCTTATCTCAAACCACGAGAAGCTGGAAAAAAACCATGCCTCTGTCCATTTAAACACACTGAGAAGAACTGGTTTTTGAAGCAATTACCAATAATAGCCACAAAGAGCTCAAAGAAACCAAAGCACCTCAAAACTCTCTGAATAAAGTCCCACTCCATTCTATCATAAGCTTTCATCATGTCCAACTTAAGTCCAATGTTTCTAGCCTCCACCTTCCTGTCAATCTCTCCTACTATAAATTGAGCTAAAGAGATACATTCTCCAATACTCTTGCCCTGAATGACACCATGTTGTGCCTCAGAAACTAAAGAAGGCAGCAACAAAGCCAATCTCTTAGCCAACAATTTCGTAAAAACTTTGTATAAAAAGTTACATAAACTAATAGGACGAAATTCTGTAAAAGAAGTAGGATTAGTCTTCTTAGGTATTAATGCTAGCAAAGTAGCATTGACAGACCTTGGCACACTCCCACCTTTAAGAAATAAGTTCACAGCCTCCAACATGTCCTATTGAATGATCTCCCATACTACCTGAAAAAATTTGCCAGAAAAACCATCTGTCCCTGGGGCACTTTCCACTGACATTGAGGAAACAACACTTTTAATCTCTTCTATAGTAGCAGCACAAGTCAGTTTCTCAATCTCCTCCTCACCAACCCTAAGAGGAATGGGTTCAAAAATGTTATCTATCAACTCATGAGGTTCTGATTTATGCAGTTTAGAAAAAAAAAAAAAAGAAACAACATGAGAAGAAATTTTCTCCTTAGTCAGCAACCAAGCATCCTCTTCATTCTTGATTTTATTAACTCTGCCTCTCATAGCTTTACTTTTTGCAATAGTGTGATAGAACTTAGTGTTCCTCTCACCTTCTACTGCCCATTTAACATTTGTCTTCTTCCTCCAAAAGGATTCCTCCAATTTAAGTGTACACTCCAATTGTTTTATGGCATTCTCCAAAGACCTAAGATTATCTACAGAATCATCCAATTCTATACATCTCTCAGCATGCCTCAATTCCATCTCTTGAGCTTGAATCTTCTCAAAAATGTTACCAAACACATCCTTATTCCATCTTTTCAATTGAATTTTTAGAAACTTCATCTTTAAAAACATATTTTCAGTAGGCTTATCTGAATACCATCCACACCAGTTTGCCTTTACTAGATCCAAAAAAGAATGATCTTCAGTCCACATATCCAGAAATTTAAGGTATGAAATCCTTCGTTGGACTCTAGCTTCCACCACTTTAACTAAAAGAGGATAGTGATCAAAACTGCCTCTTGCCAAATGAATGACTTGAGTATTCTCAAATTTGGTAACCCAATCACTATTTACCAACACACTATCCAAACGTTGCCACATTCTAGTAGCCCCATGATGACTATTACACCATGTATAACTACTTCCTTCAAAACCACAATCAATCAATCCTTCCTCATGAATATAATCCCCAAATTCATTCATAGCAACACTAGAAGGATAAGCGCCCCCTAGTCTTTCAACAGAATTAATCACAGTATTAAAAGCCCCCATAACAAGCCAAGGGAAATCAAAAGAAGCAGCAACCAGATGCAAATGATGTCATAATGGCCTCCTCAACACATGGTCACAGCAGGCATAGACCACAGTAACTAAAACTGGAGGAGAACCCAAATGTGAAACAGTCACAGCTAAGGATTGTTCAAATTCCATAACAACTTTAACCTCCACCCTTTCACTCCATAACAACCACAAATTCTTTTCAGCAAGAGAATTAAACACAAAGGCAGAGAAACCAACACTAGATGCAAATCCTCTAATTTTAGAAGATCCCATCTAAGGTTCTAGTATAGCCAGTAAAACAATCCTATTCATATGTACCAATTTCTTTAAACTACTTCTCAGAGCCTCTTTTCTAGCTCCCCTCACATTCCACACCATGAAGTTCATCATAAAGAAGAGAGACTCAGATTACCTTTAGGCAGCTGCCTAGGACTGAAATCAGTAGAATTTGCAATCTCTAGATCCTCCAGATTCTCTTCAAAGCCTTCCACATTATCTGAGAGATTTGCCTAACCCATGGGATTCTCCTGATCAGAGAAGAATCCCTTATCAGGAGGTTCTTTATCTTTCACCAATCCATTCTCATCATCTAAAGAAAAGGTACTCTTACCATGAGCACTGTAAGCATTATTCACCCAAAAAGAAGAATCAGCAGATGGAGAAAAATGCTTGCTGGTATTACAAATAGGAACTTCCCCTTCATTTACCTTCTCCTTAGACACCACCCTTTCCAGTCTTTGTTCCTTCTCTTTACTTAGAGCAATCCCAGAATCATTAACAATTGGAGACACTTCTCCACATTCTAAGACCATTTCCACATCATTTTCAGTGTGCTCCTTCAATTGCTCAGATTCCAAATTCACAATAGTAGGTGATGGAACCTCCAAATTAGCCACAATACCATCAACCCAACCCATCCCCCCACTCTCCTTATCATTGTCCCTCAATTGAACACCAATCCTCCCCTGCTGCTGTGCCCTCTCATTTGATCCTAACTGAGCAGACTGATTATCATTCAAAACAACATTAACTTCTGCATCAGCAGCTGCAATCATCTCAGGAACCTCATTTACCTCTTCCAGAACAGTAAATCTATTCCCAACCTCTGCATTAAGAACAATTGTCTTCTATCTATACTCCCTCCTTTGTTTCACTCTTTGCTCATCATTGGCAACAACTTTCCCTTTCCCCTTTTTCCATCCTTCATCATGACCAGAGCCATTCACAGGAACAGAAGCCTTAATTTTCCTTAATTTCACAAAATAATAAGTAACTTTTCAAGGGTGGATCCAATAGGAGTGGAGGTGAGGGTATGTAGGGATGGTAGAATTGGGACGAGAGGGATTGAAAATATCTTGCTATCATTTTTTGTCCACATTTATATGTAAATTGCATGCACATGAATTACTTGTGGGCAACGTACATAGAACCACTTTAATTATTTAATTAGTTGGCATGATGGAGCTTATGTGTCATTCATTTTTAATTTAGGAAGTCAAGAAGTTCTCGAGGAGAATTCGTATTACAGAGCATGACGAGCGTTCGTTGCGTTCGTGGTATGATATGCGTTCATGGCGTGATATCCATTCGTGGCATGATATGCCTTCGTGGCATGATATGCCTTCGAGGCATGATATGCGTTCTTGGCATGATATGCCTTTGTGGCATGATAGTTTATCAAAGGTACTACAGACAATTTTTTCTTGGTGGTCGGACCCATTTTATGTGAAGCCTTTTTATGTTATCTTTTTACGTATGTGCTTATTTTGACTACATAATAGATAAATGTCATTTTGTATTGCAGGCATGGGTCCAACGTCGGAGAATCGAAGAGCAGGATTTGTCCCCTTACCTGTATATGCTCATGCTCCCTGTGTTTCGTGCTGCTCAACTTGACCCAGATGTTACTCGGTTGGTTACAATATAGTTCTAACAAAATATAATTCCATAATAGTGATATTTTTAACATTTTAAAGTGATTTCTCTATGCATATACACACACAAACACATGAATAGTGATGTTTGTTGTTATCCGACCAAACTCACTTAATTCAAAACCTTTAATTTTTATTGCACTGTTGTTGGTATTACACGTAGGTATGCTGGAGAAAAGATCATGGAAAAGGCTATAGCTTGTCACGTGCTGTGTTTCTGTGTCGATGAGTTGATGGAATCGCTTGCTCCCCAGATTGGTCGGGTAAATTTTGATATGTCTAATTTTAAGTATCTCTTGTTAAGCTTGCTATGGCAGTGGTTGTTTAAACATTTGTAAAACATCTAGGTTGTTGATACACTGGTTCCATTTTTGAAATGGAATCATGATGCACCTGTTGCTGATACACTTGTTGCTGATGCACCAGTTGCTGATGCACGTTATTGTGCTAAAGCAATTAGAATAGCTGCTGCTTCAGGTACTAGACTGACTGGAATTATTACTATCTGTCAGCATCTGTGTAGATCTTAGTCAATTTTCTTATGCTATCTTTTTACTTTGTGCAATAGCCATGCCTGAGATACTGTATTCAGCTAGATTAGTTGTAGAGAGCGACCCAACCGAATATCACAATAAGCCATATGTCGAGAAGTTATCTGATAAGGTCAAACGTGCTTTAAAGGAAGCTTCAGATGTGGTCAGTTGTGTCTATCTTACCTGATTTTTTGGGTTTAACAATGTCAAATAATATATTTTTTTCACTTATTTCTTTTTAGAGTTTTAAATAGTAGAATTTTTACTCTTATATTGACCTATTTGAACCGTATTTTGCTTTCAGGAACCTGACAAGGGAGTTCGTTTAAAAATGTTGAATTCTTTGAAAAAATGCAAGCAACAATTAGGTTTTGTTCAAGATTTCTTATAAAAATCAAAAAGCACTTCTTAAACAAGTATTTCTCATACGTATTTTATAAAAAAGTGCATCGTGGTGGTGGCGGTGGTGGTGGGATAGAGGTAACATGGTGAGGCGGTGGTGGTGGTGATGAAATATTTTGTAGATGAGTGATTTTAAAGTAGAAGTTATTTATTTATTTTTTTACTTTTACTTAAAATTACTTTTGACTTATTAGAAAGTAATTAAAATAAGATGTTCCGAACACTGCCTTTTTTTTAATAAAGGTAGAACAGATTTTGCTTTGCAGTTTCGAATTGCATCTTGTGTTGCAATAATTTTAATTTCTACACTTTTTAATTTTTTTGGTGGTGCTGATTTTATAACTTCAAAAATTTTCATCATCTTTTTTTGCAAGTTATTTAGCTCGGGACTTGTATGTTTCTAAATAAGTTATTCTGCTTCAGATTGTTGGGTCTCTTAGTACAAAATTTAGTTTGACGTAAATTATAATTTGAGAAAATGGTGGCCACCGTTTAATTTTGTTGGACAAATATATATTTAAATTATATCAATACTAGTAAAATATTTACCACAAAATATTATTGGCAATGAAATCTTTAAGATACAATCCCAAGCTAGCAGCTAATCTCTACATCGAGCACATACGATAAAGATAAATTATCAAGTCTGGATCTTGTTGGCTAAAATATCGAGAATATAAAAAAATACATAATATATAATAATAACAAATTGGGAAAAGAGAAAGATATATAAGAGAGGAGATAAGAGTAGGCCTGTCAATGGATTGGACATGGACTAGATTTTGTCATGTCTGAATCCGAATGTAATTTACATAATTTGGTTCGACTTGATTATCCGACGGATTTGAAATTTATAATTCATATCCGAATACATTAACTATCGATATCTAGTCCAAAAATTTGATCCGATTTGTTTATGTACAAAGTAAAATCAACTTACAAATATGTTACAAATTATAACAAATTCAGCTCCGTACAACCAAAAAATTATAATGCTTACTCATTTGAAGCCTTAACAAGTAACATAAATTAAATATGTCAACCTCAATTTTAGTTATAAATAGTGAAGAAGAAGACAAAAGGAAAAAAAATGTTGTAGATGAATAGATATCGATGTATATAAACTCACGGGATATAATATATAAAAATAAAAGGTATATATACAGTTCGGATTAAATTTGATAAATTCATATCTGAATCCATTAAATATAACATAACAGATTCGGATAATCGATAAAAATTAATAATCTATATTCAACTAATTAGATTCAAATTTAGGTCAATGATTGAGATTATCAAGTCTAAATTTAAAGTATTCAATGGTTGAGATTCCAACAGAAACAAGGTTTAAAGTATTGGTCGAGTCCTAGTTTTTTGCCCTTTTTTTTGAGTACCTCTTACTTATTCTTTTTAATTGCTAGAAGAATATAAAAGAATTCTAGTGTTCAATACTGAATAGAACTGGTTGTTGCGAATATCTTTTTATTCCATCACTAATATAATTATGCCAACATTATCCCTATCTTGTATGAAGTGAAGCTCAATAGAAAGTAGCACCAATTTGCCTAGTTTACATTGGATAGGGAAAATTTACTTTTAATATTTGAGTTTCAAAATTCGTTTTCCCATTTTTTTTTGTGATTTGTGATATGCAGAAATGGTGTTTTTTTTTTTAATTTAAGCACCATATGATGTCATGAAATTGCGAACATTTAATTAATTCAAACATCATTAAAAGGCTAAATGGATAAAAAGAAAAGCTTCTTTCGTGCAAAGGGGGATGGGGGTGCTCATCGTTACTTAAACAACATATGATACATGATCCATTGACGGGCAATTGAAATTCTATTATGAAGCAAATCATTTGAAGTTTTCAAAAAAAGTTGATTTTGGACAACATTACTATATTTTTATTTGATTAAGTGTGCAATATGCAAGTTTTAATCTTTCAAGATGCAAATTAATAATTTGAAGATCTCTTAGGGTACTAAGTGCCGTTCCTCCTAACCTTTATGGGAGACAATGTGAACCCCAAATTTGCAGTAGTCACTCCACCTATTCATCCAATGGCACTCTTCATTATTACAAAAGACATCATAATTGATCCGATGGATATGATTTTCAAGTAATTACAAGTATTTTGAGTATACATATGGAACAACGGGTTTATTAGTCTAGATTAGTAGCACTTTGAGGGTTTTCTAGCTTTGCTACATATAGATTTCAATATAATCTTGTATTCTCTTCTTTAATTGTTTATTTTTGGTTGGGCTAATTAATTAACCAATTATCAAGTCTGAATGTAGACCCTTCGNTTGAGTATACATATGGAACAACGGGTTTATTAGTCTAGATTAGTAGCACTTTGAGGGTTTCTAGCTTTGCTACATATAGATTTCAATATAATCTTGTATTCTCTTCTTTAATTGTTTATTTTTGGTTGGGCTAATTAATTAACTAATTATCAAGTCTGAATGTAGACCCCTCACTCATACACGATGGATGATTTATCATTGAGTGAAATTGTGTGAAAAAAATAATAGAGATGATCTAGATCCTAGTGTAACTAAATTATGTGTAGGCTCGAAAATGATTGATACGATCAAATCTTTGATCGGATTCAAACATTGACTCAAATTTAAATTTGAATAAAAATAAGTTCAAATCTTTTTTTCAAACTTATATCAAATTGAACGAGACTCAAATTTCTGTCATTTATCTTTTTTTTNTAACTAAATTATGTGTAGGCTCGAAAATGATTGATACAATCAAATCTTTGATCGGATTCAAACATTGACACAAATTTAAATTTGAATAAAAATAAGTTCAAATCTTTTATTCAAACTTATATCAAATTGAACGAGACTCAAATTTCTGTCATTTATCTTTTTTTAAAATTTGAGTTGCGTTTTTTAGTTTAAATTAACAATTTTACCTAAATATTGTGTTGACTAAAACTTTGAATCCAGATTAGTGATAACCTAACACCATCAACAGAGAAAGCACATAAATCAGATGTCGTTTAATATATATATATATTTAAAAATTATTAATAAAGTATCTATATGTATGTTGTTTTAATCATCAGCCTTAATTAAACTTCTTCACTCAGAACAAGCGTCTCCACTTTATCTCTCTCTCTTCCCTATCCAAAATACAAGCTGACCTCTCTAACTCAGCCATGTGAAAAGATGAAGCAAGTCTAAGCCCTACTCCGAGACAACCGATAAGTTGGAAACTCACGACCTTCTGTCTGCTTCCAAGGACTTGCGCTCCTACATCGAGTGGTTCTTCTCCCACAAAGATTCTCGTTGAAAAGCTTCTCTCTTCTTCCTCCTCCTCCTCCCTAGACCTCGAGTCACGTGTCATGTCATGTCTGTCATTCTCCTTCGCAAGTTACTCATCTGTAAATTTTAAGTGTGTTTCCTCTCTTTCTCCGGTGAAATGCAATTGACTTGAAATCCTTTCTCTTGAACTCAGCTGTCACAGAGACCGCAAGACCAATCAATAAAGAACTTTGTCACGCTGTATTATAGCTTGCAGTTTCTCTTTTACCTGAAAACAAGTGGCTTCAATGGAATTTTTTCTATTAGACTTTCATTAATTAATAATTAATTTTTTGTTTGTAAAAAATGGCTGAATTTATGGTCCAATAAAATGAGTTCAATATCATTAAATGATCTATTTTGATAAGTTTATGTACATCTTTTAATTAATGTGGTTAAGGTGGTTAATTGTAGATTTTAATCTAATTGTGATTCGTAATAGGAGAGTCCATTAANATCATTAAATGATCTATTTTGATAAGTTTATGTACATCTTTTAATTAATGTGGTTAATTGTAGATTTTAATCTAATTGTGACTCGTAATAGGAGAGCCCATTAGNATCTATTTTGATAAGTTTATGTACATCTTTTAATTAATGTGGTTAAGGTGGTTAATTGTAGATTTTAATCTAATTGTGATTCGTAATAGGAGAGTCCATTAAATTTCATTATAAATAGCAGACTAGATCCTCTATCCACTTCATAATCCTAATTTGACTTGTTTTATTGAGACCCGCTTATTGTTTTAAAGAAGAGAGAAATATCTTACCTTTCCGCGAAAGAAATCCGGAAGACGGGTATAATGACTCATACATGTATATTTAAATCTTGTAATTTATGTATTCTAAATTTCATATACGAATCATTAAGAATTCTTATATATAGTATCAGAGCCTATCGTATATGAATTTAGAATCTAATTTATTTTTTAATTATTATTTTTTATTTATATAATTTTGGATCTCAAAATATTTTGTGACGGCGAACCAAAAGGGTTAATTCGGTTACTGTTCTTTAACTTCTTTTTTTTTTTTCTTTTTTGATCAAGACTACTGTTTCTTACTTTCAAAGCAATTGTTTGGGTGGAGAATTTCAAGCAGTCAATGGTTTGGGCAATTATGCTTTGGCGGCTATAATTGATATATATATATATACATTTAGTTTAGATGATTTTAATCAAATTAGGCCTTTTGATAATGACTTTTAATCAATATATAATTTGACTAAAGGATTTGATTTGGATTAAATCTAAATATCAAATAAATTTTATATTCACAACCCCTATATCATTTTTTTTTATGTTATAATGGTGGAATTGTTATTTTATTACTTGTGTCTTTTCTATTAAATAATCATTAATTATTCATGGATCATATTGATGAATAGATACATGTTTTACCTATACAAATTATTTTTTCATGTTGATGTAACTTTGATTACATTGTTGTAATTTGTAGAGGGTGTTTGTATAATTCTAATTTTAGTCCCTAATGATTTATACGATGAATTTTTTTTTTTAATGATCTACAAATTATTTATTAAATGTTGATAGATGTTAATTTAAATTACTTAATTTTAATAGTAAAAATAGAATAGACCTAAATGCAACGATGATGATGGGTGATCTAAAGAGATAAATATTGGTTAGTACCACATATCGAC